GCCCCATATACCAGAGGTGGCGGGTTCAAACCCAGCCCCGGCCAAAAACTGCAAAAAAAAAAAAAGGAGAGAGAGAGAGAAATCTTGTTTAAGTATCCTTTTCACATTAAAATCTAAATTGTTTTGAGAGAGTAATGCTTATACATCTAGATATTAAGCTGAAGATCCAACATCGTTATAACCAGTTTGAGTTGTTTTCCCTCAACTGATACAGTTATAAATTTTGACTAAATTCCAGAATAGAAACTAATTGTGCTGAGAAAGAAAAAGATTCATTCATTATTTATTTATAAAATATCATAAGCTATATGCATTCACATGGTTTATGAGCTGGCTGCTGTACCATCCACGGTTTAGCACGTAATTGGCTGCAAATCTCCTAACGTTTCAGGGCATGGATGTTTGTTTAAATCAGAATTCATCATTAAGGGAGACTGCTGTTCCAGGTACCAAGTCACTATCTACTTTATCTTATAATTTTAAAATGCTGCCGTTCATTACAAATGACACGAAAAGTTTGATCATACTGAACTGTACGCCATTTGGCGTCTCACTTGAAAAGGCGATGTTAGGAGAGTTGCATAAATTATATACTGAATTATTTGTTCAGTATACGAAGAATGCATTTTTCACTATTTTGATGGAAGAAATTAGCTTCCTAAATAAAATATTAGTAATAATATTAAAATAAAGTCACCTTAAAGGTCAGCGTTTGTGACCAAAGTAAGAGTATAAAGAGAGGAAACTGAGAATGGGAAGCAGAGTTTAATTTAGCTCCGCAGTTACTGGCTGAGCTGTCTCAGTCTGTGCTGTATGCACAGTGGTGAGACAGGCTGCTCAGGTTCCTACGTTCTTCTAAACGTAAATGGATCATTTTAGTACAGTGGCCGGCTCGGTCATAGACCATGTGCTCTGGGGCCGAATGCCCACAGATAGGGCACTGAGCACAGCCTAAGACTGTGAGAGGAAACTTTCCAGAAATAATAACATCTAAGCAGAGTCTTCGAGGAGCGTAGGGATGAACCCAGTGAGGAAGGACACAGGGAAAGTGGCACCAGGCAAAAGAAACAGCACGAGCGATAGCAAAGGGCAGGGAAGGGAAGAGAGAGAGTTACCTAACAGGAACAGTGCCACGGAGAGGGGAAGCAAAATCAGATGGAAGAGGCCCTTTGACGTTCCCACCTGAAGCCACTGGTTACCTTGGCTTCAACAGCTGTGATGAGGTGCTGGGAACAGAAATCAGACTGCAGAGAGATGAACGGGGCCGGAGAGGACGTGGGTCAGACAGGGCGGGGAGGGGTTTTGTCAAGGACTTCAGAGAAGAAAACAAAGATGCGATAACTAGAGATGAGCAAAGGCCTAAAAGGCTTTGGTTTT